TTGAAGGATATCCCGGAATCGGCGGGGCAAACAGTCAAAAAAGAATTACTTGACATATTCGAGGTGTGTAATTTGATAAATTATGTATTTTCTATTTCTGTAGTTTTGTAGTCTCCTCGCAGTTGTACAGCTTTCGTGTGCAGAGATTTTGGCGAGCAGTATGCGATGAATTCGGACTTTGTAGAGATTGTCAGAGATGGAGGAGCGCGGAATTGCGATAAGTAAGCTGGCGGAGCAGACAGTGACAGAATGGGACACGGTTGAGCATTCTCTTGTGGTAAACGAAGAGGAAGACGAGAAACAGAGTGCAAGAATCGCCAACGGCATCATTTCTCAGTGTTGCTAACTTTGACCATCCATATGGTGGGGGGAGGGGGTCAGGGTGAATCGGTGCTACAGTTATGCACTGTTTTGTCGGACGTGTTAGGAAGAAAGCCTTTTATAGGAAGAGATTTGCGTAGGGTTTCGCTGCAGACTTACAGTCGAGGCATAGTCGAAGCATGGAGATGTCTTGTTTTATTGGTGGCTGAGATTACAGCGCGGTGTTTTAGAGTTGCTGTAGCAGCAGAAGGGCCTCTGCTTAACGATAGCTGAATGTTCTGATATTGAAGATACGTGCACTTGTAAATGTACAAAATCGAATGTTTATCCATTTCCATGCATTTTTTACACCTATGCAATGCAAAAACGCATATTGTCGAAGGCTTGTCTGTTTCTGCATATATGCCTGTCTGGCGTCTGTTTCGAGACCTGTAAAAGCTACAAGGCTAAAACTTTGGCGCCCTAATCTACATCTGCGTACGAGCCGCTCTCCTCAAAATGGATGTTCACGTCCACATGGCTCTCATGTATGAAGGAATGAATGATTTTTTGGTGGGGAAGCGATTTCCGAACCGGCGCAAGCTAGAAGGCTAAGACTTCACTAAGATCTTCCTTGCTCACGCCCAACCCAAATATTTTAAATTCATTCTTCACGCATCCCTGGGTCTCACGTACGTATGCGTCAAAACTTAAATTAGCATCATGCCAAATCGAGAATTAATCTGTTCAAGAAATTTTAGAGAGCTGTAATTTTGCAGCGTTGCTTGTCGCCCGCTGATGTGCCCATTTAAAATAAATTGAGCTTTCTAGCCTTCCTGCATCTCGCGTGCGAACACGCGAAATTTGACGTAGACAGTTCAGCTAGAAAGCTGAAATTTTTTAAGCATGGCCGACGGTGGCGTTTAGCCAAATGGGCGTGAAAGCAACTTTCCTGTTCACACGTGCGCGTCACGTACGAACAAGTAAAAT